GTTCTCCTGAACAGACTTCTTCCTGAGGCGGAAAACTTCCTCCCAGAATCTCAACGTGGCCATAGACAATCAAGTGGCACCACTGACGTGATCTTTGCTGCCCGCCAGATACAGGAAAAGTGCAGAGAACAGCGTCGTAAGCTGTACATGGATTACATCGACCTAACCAAGGCCTTCAATTCGATCAACAGGGAAGCCCTCTGGTGGACCCTCAGCCGTTTTGGCTGCCCACCAAAATTCATCGCAATTGTGAGGCAACTCCACGATGGTATGAACGGCAGTGTCCTGCACAATGGTCTGAGTTCTTCCTTATCTTGGCTGCCTTCCTTATTCGTGCCAGTGCCAATTTTTGCCGGCGGGGTGGACATCGAGTACCAGATGAAGGGTCTTTTCAACTTAAGTCGACTCTAGGCAAGAACAATGGTGTCGGCAGCTTCAATTACTGAGTTTCAATATGCAGACGACCTCACCCTTGTTGCACACACTGAACACAACCTACAGGAGATCCTGAGGTCAATGTACGTAAGATTCAGATTCTCTTTCAACCTTCCCCTAGTTCAGCCACACCTCCATCATCCATCCAGCTTAACGGTACTACCCTCTCTAATGTTACCCACTTTCGGTATCTCGGCTCCCACCTGTCCACCACCGCGGACATCGATGAAGAGATTCAGCATCGGATCATATGTGCATCTAAAGCCTTTGTCAGACTCCAAAAACATGTTTTCAGCTGTAGGGAACTGAAATTATCTACAAAGTTACACGTATATGGGTCACATACAGGAGGCACCTCAAGGCACTTGAGACTTTCGCTGGGAAGATGAGAGAACAAAAGCCAGTATTCTTGCTGACACCAACTGTAGGAGCATCGAGGTTACCATTATCCATAAGCAACTACGCTGGACTGGCCATGTTACCCGACTGCAAGCCGAGGCAGACAAGCGGCAACGCCGGAAAGACACTACCACCGCCCCTCCCTCACTCGATGTAGCCCTCCCATGTGCAACTCATGTGAACGACTCTGCCGTCCCGTATCGGCTTCTTTAGTCACCTCAAAACTCCCTAATAATTCATATCAATGCTTCATAGCTGGTTGATCATCATACTCGATTCCGAGTGACAGCAAAGTAGTAGTAGTAGTAGTAGTAGTAGTAGTATAGGGTTATGAAACAGCATTCATTAACAGTATCGTTAAGTGCGTGTTATAGCGTTACTACACAACACTCATCAACAGTATATTTACGTGCGTATTATGGGGTTACTACACAACACTCATACATTCCTCTGGTTAACTCAAGTATCTCGTATCAAACTCGTTACCAAGGCAACCAAGACTCACAGTTACCAGATGTAAGACAAATTTAGCTTCGTCTATTTCTGGTTAATATCGCATCAAGTTTCCATCTTTCCCTGGTGAAGGAAATAGAGGGTAATTTATCCATTTTATTTGACATTCATTTGCTGTAACATAGTCGGATCATATGAAGATTAGCCCCCTAGTTTATTTTACCTGATGATTTAACATCCTAGGTCTATTTTGGGGGTTAGGTTAGGTTAAGTGTCTGTCCATTTGGAGAGAGAGAGAGAGAGAGAGAGAGAGAGAGAGAGAGTATTTGCCAGACTACCCGCAGTGTTTGAGGCTCTACAGTATGTGGCCAACTGGCAACATAGTCGGGGCCGTTTTATCCCCATATAAATTGGCCAGACCTCACCTGCCCAATTTATATCACCCTGTTCTATCGTCCTGTACAAACACTGATATTCTGGCCGCGAGTATTGTCAGGGTGAACAGTCCTAGTTATATACTGGGTGAACAGTCCTAGTTATATACTTTATGTTATGTTCCTCAAATGTTCAAAATGTTCAGCTGCGTTATATCTATGTACAGTATATCAGTTTATGCTTAAGATTAACAGTAAGTTTATAGAGAGTGTTTTGCGTCTACCTGGACAACAGAAACCACATTTATGTAGGGAAGAACGAGGCCAATAGTGTGTGTGTGTGTGTGTGTGTGTGTGTGTGTGTGTAAAACCACTGACCAGCGGGCTTAGTCTCTAAGTTTTGTGGGAGTCCAGAGTTTTAGATAAGGTGTGTGTTGAAGTTGTTTTGTGTTAAGCTTGTGGACCCCATGATTCCCCTCAAGCTTACTGGTGACCAATTGAGAAATGGTGACTTTAGGTTTAGAAGTTAGATTCTATTCTGAACCTTTCTGGGATTAATTAAATAACCTGTACACCCTGCAGTCGCCATTCCTACACACACACACACGTTACCCCCCAAAAAAAACAACAATGTAAAACACGTATCAATAAATTTCGTTTTCGTTCTAAGAATTCCTCGTACACATACCCCATTATACAGGTTGCATTACGTTTCATTACAAGGGACAAACACTCACTACGCGTCTAGCATGTTTCTTCTCTTGCTCTGTATTTGTCATCTTATCCTTCGTGTAATCATAGCGTCGTATATTGGGGCACCTGGCGAGACCAATAGATGTGTTGGTCGGCGGGATCTTTCTCTATAATTACCTTTGTTCACGTATCTGTGGATTTTGAAGTTGAGTTAATATATGTCGACTCCGGTGCTGTTCGAGATCTTTACCTATATACTCTACTGTGGTCCTACTCTGCCAAGTCGTTAAATAATAAAACACGTTAACCTAACCTAATGCTAACCTAACCTAATGCTAACCTAACCTAACCTGTTAAATCTCCAGTAAAGTACAAAAAATAATAATTGCGCCATTAACAGTCCCTCTGGCAGGATAAACTTTCGACAACATCACCTGCAGCAGCCAATTAATTCCGTGTCAAATACTTTTTCTTTTCTCGCCGCTAAACTGTTGACATCAGCTTTCATCAATTTCCTCCATGTTAGCAACTTCTGTCATTTACCGTGTAAGGTGGTCCACTTCCCTAACCTAACCTAACTTAACCCAGCTTAACCTAACCTAAAATACTCAAACTAACCTAACCTAACTTAACCCAGCTTAACCTAACCTAGAATACTCAACCTAACCTAACATAACCAAGCTTAACCTAACCTAAAATACTCAACCTAACCTACTCTAACCTAACTTAACCTAACCTAAAATACTCAACCTAACCTACTCTAACCTAACTTAACCTAACCTAAAATACTCAACCTAACCTAACCTAACCTAACTTGAGTGTGAGGTTGAAGTACTGACTCACCCTGGCAGCTTACACTACGGTTAAAGTTGCTTATAAGTTTCCACCCGGTAAATCACACAACTCAGGGCTCTGTTTTGTCTTTTCTTAATAAATGTTTACCTCTACTACGTCTATTATTTAACACACACACACACACACACACACACACACACACACACACACACACACACACTTACTACCTCCTACAGTACCATTAAAAGAATAATTACCTGAATCTTTCGCTGATCCTAAAACTCGACCCGACAAACATTTATTCACGTGTCGAACAATTCCCTGCTGATAATTTAAAATTTCTTCACTGGATGACAAGGCATGTTTTGTGGTGGATGATAGGGTAGGTGTTGTGGTGGATGATAGGGTAGGTGTTGTGGTGGATGATAGGGTAGGTGTTGTGGTGGATGACAGGGTAGGTGTTGTGGTGGATGATAGGGTAGGTGTTGTGGTGGATGACAGGGTAGGTGTTGTGGTGGATGATAGGGTAGGTGTTGTGGTGGATGATAGGGTAGGTGTTGTGGTGGATGATAGAGTAGGTGTTGTGGTGGATGATAGAGTAGGTGTTGTGGTGGATGATAGGGTAGGTGTTGTGGTGGATGACAGGGTAGGCGTTGTGGTGGATGACAAGGCAGGGGTTGTGGTCCTAGGCTGATCATTACCCTTGCTACAACGATCCTCCCTCGCTCAACACAGTCCATATACTGTTTCTGTAGTGACTGGTGGTGGAGCTGCTTCATGGAACATACAGGTAAGTGTAAGCTGTGAGGCCGCTTAAGATAGACAGCCACACCCACCTAACACCTCAATACAACCTCACAGCAATGGCTACCAATTGCCTCGCTGGCGAGATGTCAGGGGTTCGATTCCCGGACCGGTGGAAGTCGTTTGGACACACTTCCTAGCCCCCCTTGGTTCCTGTTCACCTAGCAGTAAAGTAGGTACCTGTTGTAAATCGAAAGTTGCGAATTCGTATTCAGGGAAAGTTGTTGGAGCTTCCAATAACTTGCTTCTACGCCCTTGACATAAAACCTATGACCCTTCAGGCTTCTACGCCCTTAAATCATGAGACATAAAGGCAAGCATGAACTTAGCATGCTTCCCAGATGGGCGCTGTAAACGCTTCTGCGCTTCACACATCAACATACACTCAGAGTAAAACAAGTCAATATAAAATACTTAAACTAATTATCCAGATTTTCGACTTCAACATTTCCACACAATCAGAGCAGTTAAGTGCTCCATCTACGGCAGATTTCCTCGAGAAAAAATTAAAATTTCCCCCCGTTAAGATTCTTATGAACTAAAAATTAGATTATACACAAGATATATAATTACATTTACTAAGGCTACGCTTTTATTAATGACCCTGGCACCTGTTATATGACCCTGGCACCTGTTACATGACTCTGGCACCTGTTACATGACCCTGGCACCTGTTACATGACTCTGGCACCTGTTACATGACCCTGGCACCTGTTACATGACCCTGGCACCTGTTACATGACCCTGGCACCTGTTACATGACCCTGGCACCTGTTACATGACTCTGGCACCTGTTACATGACCCTGGCACCTGTTATATGACCCTGGCACCTGTTACATGACCCTGGCACATGTTACATGACCCTGGCACCTGTTACATGACCCTGGCACCTGTTACATGACCCTGGCACCTGTTACATGACCCTGGCACCTGTTACATGACCCTGGCACCTGTTACATGACCCTAGCACCTGTTATATGACCCTGACACCTGTTATATGACCCTGACACTTGAAACTACTAAATGGAGGTCACTGTCACACTTACCTTGTGTCATCTCTGGTGGCGGCAGGTGAACAGCGGTCACCTCGGGTTACCTCTTCATTGTAATCATTACCCAATTACTCTGTTTATCACGTCTTCTCTCACTGTTTCCCTCTTTTACTGGTTCACAGCCTCTATTATTGTTCTCCTCAGTTCTCCATCAGTGTCGTTCATATCTCTTCCAGCTCACTTCTGTACCTTAACTTCAGGCCACTTAAGTTCCCTTCATTTCAGACCCCCAATGTTGTAAATCCAGTTACTTAATTTCCCTTGACGACACTTAAATTCTGATCAACGGTATTTAAGTTATTGTTCTCTTAACTTGATCAGTTTTTGTTCAACGGACGCTATAATCAAGCAACTTTCATTTTTGATCAATTGACCATCACTCAATTGGTATAAATCTCCTTTTTCAATTTCAATTTATTCAACCAATTAACAAAATACGATTTGTTTCTCACATTTGCTCGAATTTTGATCAAGTTAACATCATTCTTTGGTCTGATCAATTCTCAGTTTTGTTCTATTATTGATCAATTCGCTTCGCTTTTATTATCACACTGATCAATTGTTTATACTCAGTTTATTTTCAATTTATTCAGTTCACTTCAACAATATTGATCAAAAATCTTATTTACAATAGTAGTTTTCCCCAGATTTGATCAGTGACTATTTCCTGGTTCTGATCACTGTGTTTATTTCCTCCATAGTGCTCATCACTTATTAAATTGATTATTTCCAGGTTATGATCACGTGACTATACTGATTATTTCCAGGTTTTTATCACGTCTCCAAACTGATTAATTCCGGGTTTTGATCACGTCACTAAACTCCCTATTATCAGGTTCTGATCCCGTCACTAAACTGATTATTTCTGGGTTATGATCATGTCACTAAACTGATTATTTCCAGGTTATGATCACTTCACTAAACTGATTATTTCCAGGTTATGATTACTTCACTAAACTGATTATTTCCAGGTTATGATCACGTCACTAAACTGATTATTTCCAGGTTATGATCACTTCACTAAACTGATTATTTCCAGATTATGATCACGTCACTAAACTGATTATTTCCAGGTTATGATCACGTCACTAAACTGATTATTTCCAGGTTATGATCACTTCACTAAACTGATTATTTCCGGGTTATGATCACTAAAATTGATCATAAACTACAAATCATAAATTCTACTTCAGATTATTTCCGTGTTCATGAAGCCATAGACAACAATACTAATCTATATACACTTGACCTTGTGATTGGCTGTACACTTCCGTATTTTCTATCTCCGTCGTACACGTTGGTTGTGACACAGATCTCAGTGACACAGTGTTTTATCTATGCCTCATACTAGTGTTAATGTCTCATACTTATTATATTTAGTAGAGTATGTCGGTCACACACACACACACAGACACACACACACTCAACTTCTGCAAAAACTCTGAGGATTTTAATGGTCTGGAATTTGATGTGTTCCCTACTGATTTTTTTATTTAAATATCAACTTACTTAAAATAAACTTAAGTGTTCAATACTAAAAATTTCACTACTACTACTAAAAATCACTTAAATATCCACTACAAAGTCTTATTTTGTCATTATATTCAACTATATAGTTATATGATATAAAGACATAACGATTAAATGATAGCATTTATTTAATATATCGTTCATATAGACTGTACCTCTGCCCACACAAAACGATAACGATATAGCCACATACAGCTGTACCACTTAATGCGCGTCCATATACTGACACATACAGGAGGTAAAAAATTATATAATGGTAAAGCTGAATATGTAAAATGTATCACACGATATTCTATCTCTACCTATGTCAGTAAAAACATAACGAGAGAGATAGATATAATATTATACAACTAATATATAAAGGATAACGTTCACTAAAGTTCCCAGTGTTTTATAAATGAAAGTAATTATTTCTGGAATCACAAAAAAATAAAACATAAAAAATATATTATATGTTCTCACTACTGTGTAATGTGGCTCCAACTGTAATGTTTTTTGATGAGTAAATTGTTGAAGGTTAAATAATTGTTAATTTAACATTGCCGATAGTGATAAAGTAATACATGTGTTTGGTCATATATATACTAGTGGCTGGTGCATGTGTCAGCGCCCAGTAACTGTCCACACGTACAGTATATTTCACCGTGGTCAGGAGCGACACTCTTACGTCAGCACGGTTGTAAACTATCCAGGATGACGACACTGTTGACCCCAACACAAAAGCAAACAACAAACGTAATAAGTACCATTGTACACAACAATGGTAGATAACCATATTAGCACCACTGTAGACAACAAGAGCCACTACTAGCACCACTGTAGACAGCAAGAGGCACCACTAGCACCACTGTAGAAACCAAGAAGTACAACTAGTACCACCGTAGACAACAAGAGGCACCATTAACACCACTGTAGACAAGAAACACCACTAGCACCACTGTAGAAACCAAGAAGTACAACTAGTACCACCGTAGACAACAAGAAGCACCACTAGCACCACTGTAGACAAGAAGCACCACTAGCACCACTGTAGACAAGAAGCACCACTAGCACCACTGTAGACAAGAAGCACCACTAGAACCACTGTAGACAAGAAGCACTACTAGCACCACAGCACCAAGCACCACTGTAGACAACAAGAAGCACTACTAGCACCACTGTAGACAAGAAGCACCACTAGCACCACTGTAGACAACAAGAAGCACTACTAGCACCACTGTAGGCAAGAAGCACCACCAGCACCACTGTAGACAAGAAGCACCACTAGCACCACTGTAGACAAGAGCACCACTAGCACCACTAGCACCACTGTAGACAAGAAGCACCACTAGCACCACTGTATACAGAAGCACCACTAGCACCACTGTAGACAACAAGAAGCACCACTAGCACCACTGTAGACAAGAAGCACCACTAGCACCACTGTAGACAGGCACCACTAGCACCACTAGCAGACAAGAAGCACCACTAGCACCACTGTAGACAAGAAGCACCACTAGCACCACTGTAGACAAAAGAGCACCACTGTGACAAGAAGCACCACCTAGCACCACACCAGACAAGCACCACTAGCACCACCAGCAGACAAGAAGCACCACTAGCACCACTGTAGACAAGCACCACTAGCACCACTGTAGACAAGGCACCACCAGCACCACTGTATACAAGAGCACTACTAGCACCACTGTAGACAACAAAAAGCACCTACTAGCACCACTGTGACAGAGCACCACTAGCACCACTGTATACAAGAAGCACCACTAGCACCACTGTGAACAAGAACCACCACTAGCACCACTGTAGACAACAAGAAGCACTACTAGCACCACTGTAGACATCAAGAAGCACCACTAGCACCACTGTAGACAAGAAGCACCACTATAGCACCACTGCAGACAAGAAGCACCACTAGCACCACTGTGAACAAGAAGCACCACTAGCAAGCACCAGTAGCACCACTGTAGACAAGAAGCACCACTAGCACCACTGTAGACAACAAGAAGCACTACTAGCACCACTGTAGACAAGAAGCACCACTCGCACCACTGTAGACAAGAAGTACCACTAGCACCACTGTAGACAAGAAGTACCACTAGCACCACTGTAGACAAGAAGCATCACTAGCACCACTGTAGACAAGAAGCACCACTAGCACCACTGTAGACAACAAGAAGCACTACTAGCACTACCCCTCCCCGTTTCCCCTCACTAGACTGGACACCGACGATTTATACATAAAGAACACTGATGACCAATTAATGGCCGCCTAGTATTTCGGGTCTCTGCTCCAATAAACCTCTGCTCCAATAAACCTCTGCTCCAATAAACCTCTGCTCCACTAAATATCTGATCCACTAAACATCTGCTCCACTGAACATCTGCTCCGCTGAACATCTGTTCCACTGAACATCTGTTCCACTAAACATATGTTCCACTAAACATATGCTCCACTAAACATCTGTTCTACTAAACATCTGCACCACTAAACATCTGCTCCACTAAACATCTGTTCTGCTAAACATCTGCTCCACTAAACATCTGTACAATAAATATAGATATTAATAAAATTTCAGTATTTTCGTCACCTGACCTAACCTGTCCTAACCTAACCTAACCTAACCTAACCTGTCCTCCTGTAGACCTTTTGGTACAACTACAGTATATAACAAACACAACAATTATTAATACTCTCCTTCTCGTCTCTCTGTTTATTTGCTTCTCATCGTCATTTTTGTATTTTATTTTTTTGTTTCTATATTTATTATTATTAGTTGCTGTTGTTTGTACCGTGTTGTGACGCCTCGTAACAATGGCCTTCGTTTCGTTCCCTCGTCAGTGTGCTCCTGAAGGTGCTGTAACAAGTGCTGGTGCTCTCCATCAACGGCGTCTTTTACCGAATATTTCCTAGGTGGTGGTAGTCTCTCTCTCTCTCTCTCTCTCTCTCTCTCTCTCTCTCTCTCTCTCTCTCTCTCTCTCTCTCTCTCTCTCTCACACACACACACACACACACACACACACACACACACACACGAGAAAACATCCTCCGACATGCGCTTCCTATCAGCCCCGGTTATCTAAAGTGGAGCTGAAGGCTAATGTGTTGCCTAATTACAGTTAATAGGATAGTGAGAAGGGTACGACCGTATCTGGTCTTATCCTCAGCTAGTGTGTTGCCCCCATTCCTGCCCCTCCCTCTCATCCTCCCCGTCTCACCATCCCCACCCCTCCCCCACCCTTCCCCCACTCTGCTTCCCCCTCCCCCTCCATGATTAAAGACTCTCGCGCCCTAATTTGTGTTCCTTTCCCGGTTGTGGATGCGAGAGGACGGTGAGCTGACTTAGCATAATCTTAGATGAAAGCAATATGGAGGACAAAATGGAGTGTATATCGTTCTGAGACTCTACTTCAACTCTACCTGTCCTACGAGAATGGAAAACAAAATTGAGGGGAAATTATACCGCGTGACTATCCTGGTTCAGCTACAAGCAAAATATTAATTTACTAACCTAACCTAACTTAATCTAGCCTAGCTTAACCTAACTTAATCTAGCCAAACCTAACCTAACTTAATCTAGCCTAGCCTAGCCTAACCTAGATAAGAGATACTAGCCAGAGGTATCTAGGCCTTCTAAAAATGAAGTCCAGCTTGAGTTCGTGTTATAGAGACTAGTTTGATTCGGTGTTATAGAATTCAGCTTAAGTCTGTGTTTTAGTCCAGCTTGAGACCGTGTAAAAGAGTTCAGCATGAGTACGTGATGCAGAGTCGAGCTTGAGCCCGTGTTGTAGAGTCCAACTTGAGTCCGTGTTATAAAGTCGAGCTTGAGTCCGTGTATTAATATCCAGCTTAAGCCTATGTTGTAAACTCCAGCTTGAGTCCTTGTTATAGAGTCCAGCTTAAACCTGTGTTTTAGAGTCAAGCATGAGTCCGTGTTATAAAGTCCAGCTTGAGTATGCGTTGTAGAATCCAGCTTGAATCTGCATTGTAGAGTCTAGCTTGAGTACGTGTTGGGGTTCTCTGAGGGACAGCTTGACTGAAGATTATAAACTCGGTGGTTTTTATCTGCGTGAGTCCTGGTCGATGGTGATTAAAGCTGAGAACATCGTCATCAAGAGGTGAGCTGCTTGACCTACCTACCGCGGCCGGCGTCAGGTGGTACTGTACACTACAGCCTAACGTAACCTAACCTAACCCAAACTAACATAACGTAACGTAACGTAACCTACTATCTCTCACCACCATCACCACTATCTCTCACCACCATCACCACTATCTCTCACCACCACTATCTCTCACCGCCACCACCACTATCTCTCCCCACCACTATCTCTCACCACCATCACCACTATCTCTCACCACCACTATCTCTCACCACCATCACCACTATCTCTCACCACCACACCACTATCTCTCACCACCATCACCACTATCTCTCACCACCACCACCACCACTATCTCTCACCGCCGCCACCACTATCTCTCACCGCCATCACCACTATCTCTCACCACCCACCACCACTATCTCTCACCACCATCACCACTATCTCTCACCAGCACCACTATCCCTCACCCACCATCAACACTATCTCTCACCACCATCCTACTATCTCTCACCACCATCCACCACTATCTCTCACCACCACCACCTATCTCACCACCATCACCACTATCTCACCACCACTATCTCTCACCACCACTATCTCTCACCGCCACCATCCACCACTATCTCTCACCACCATCACCACTATCTCTCACCGCCACCACCACCACTATCTCTCACCGCCACCACCACCACTATCTCTCACCACCATCACCACTATCTCTCACCGCCACCACCACCACTATCTCTCACCACCACCACCACACTATCTCTCACCACCATCACCACTATCTCTCACCATACCACCACCA